CCCTGAAAAAGGGTGTGTGCAAAATCACAGCACGACGGCGGAAGCCAAAACGCCCCTCAGCGCCGCAGGTGGCCCCGCATCGTCCCTGCGTTACTCATTGTTGCTGCGTTTGGCAGAAAACCCACGGAGAAGCCACTGTTAAATGTTGTTTTCTGACGTCGCCGGAAGCCCGAGGGAAAAAACCCCTCCGCGCCGAGTGGCATCTGCCTCTCCCCGGGAGCGGAGTCACGTTAGCTGGGCAGTGGCGAGGGGCAGCGGTCTTCTTCCCTCGAAATAGCCGTTCTTCTCCAAAGGAAAAAAACATGTTAAAAAAAATGTATACATACAGCACTATTCTGCATTAAACGTTGCGGCGTCTCAACGTTGTAAATGCGCTGGGTGGGTTTTATCCTCTCAGTTACTACACCACCGTTGCAGGAGAGAAATATTTTGCAAACGAAATCGAGATGGCCCGGTGCGAAACCCGGCGCCCGAGCTCTGCACGCCCGGGTCCAGCGGCTCCCCGGCGGGGGCGGGCTGCCCTGCCCCCGGGCCAAAAGGAGCCGGGCTTTTGCCGGAGAAGCGGCAGCACAGGCTGCTGGGGATAATTGCAACCTGGCACTTGGCTGGTATACAGCGTGGGTGAAATGACACTTTCGTTTCCACGCGTGGTGTAAGCGGGCAGGGCTCGACCCCGCATCCGCCGTGTAAAAAACACTGAGTTTCACCGCAGAAACATTAAGCCGGGAAGGCAGAAATTTTCGTTCACTTTATAAAAAACCAGCAACGGATAGTGAACTCCGCGCCCGATTACGTCTTTGCTATTTCACGTCACAAATCATTTGTTTTCACGTGCATCAGTAATGCCACCGGCCCTTTGGGGAGTGGGGTGAGAGGCGCGACGCTGGGGTCCCCCCCGGGGACGGAGCATCGAGCGCAGCTGCGGACCCGCGCAAGGCAGGGGGGGCTGGGGCAGGGAGAAAGGGCAGCTCGGCTCTCTCCCCGCGTCTCGTTTTCTCCCCGTTTTATTCTCACAAGGGAAGGAAACCCTCAGAGCAGGAACGGTCGAGTTTTCTCCAGGCTGTAAAACATTAAAACGGCTACAAATCTTTCAGCGTAGGCCAAAAAGCTTGCTTTCTTTCATAAACATGATCGCACTTCCTACCCTATCAGGGGAAAAAAAAAAACAAACAACGTGTTTTGCGACTATATAATGCAAAGGGAGACGAGGTTTTGGAGGAAAACTCTAACAGCCCTTTTCCTTTGGAAATGCCTCCAGCCCAGACTCGGTCCTGGCGCGCCCGGGCCCTGCGGGTTGTGTCACACCTTCCCCCCCGCTTCCAGCTGGGTTGACTGCCGCGGTCCGTGAGCCGCAGACACCGGTGCCGCACCTGCAGACAAACCTCAGGTCATCTCGGAGGTAGCTCCTCTTCAGAGCAACAGGGCGTCAACGCGTATAATGCAGAGGACGAAGGCGTCCGTATACGCATTTTTAGATAAGGGGTTTATGCACACGTAAAGCTATAGGAACGGAAAACCCTTCAAGAGAAAGGGTCGAGAGGAAAAGGGCGCACTTTCAAACCTGACCAGGAAGGATCGCCACCGCCGTTAAGTCCCGAAGACAAATATTTAGGGGGTCGGTTTAACCGTGGGAAAGGATTAGCGGACACAAAGTCAAGTGAGGAAACTTCCTCCCCGGCGGAGCCACCTGCGGGAGCGCAGCCCGGGCCGCTGCCCGCCGCCCCCGGCGACCCCCTCCCCAGTGCCGGCGAACCCCTTCGGGCTCGCTCCGCGGGTCTGCACGGCCGCAGCGAAGGAGAAACTCCGCTGGCAGCCAAGGCCTCCCCCACCAAAGAGGCGAGGGAGGGGATAATTATTCTTCCCCTGGAATTCCGGAGACATTCGTTATAAATCGTCGGGCGAAGGTAAAGCCCCGAGGCGTGCAGGAGAGCAAGGCAGAGCCGCGCTTGGCTTGTAGCTGCCTCTCGTAAAAACACAGCCGGGAGATAAACAGGCGTTGATCTGAGTCGCTGTGCAGGCGGGCTCCTAATTCCCCGTGCCCTTAGGTGTGCTGGGCTCCGCCGGCGCAAGCGGGAGCTGGCGGCCTGCCACCCGCCCTCTGCTCGGCCCCCTCCCCGGCCCCAGCGGGGCATCGCCAGCGGCACCCCGAAACGCTGCTTGGCGTAAGCAAACAGCGCTGCCCCTCACCTTTTCTTGCAGCGACTCCCCTGCCCCCGCGGGAGGGGCCCCGTCCCTCCCACCTGCCGTGGCTCAGAGGAGCCTGCGTGCGTTTGCACACGTGTGCACACTGCTGTGCGTGCGTGTGGTCTCGAAGGAAAGCCACGAAGAAAAACAATGACTTTCGAAGTCAGACTTTCTGCTGTGTGTCCAGGGAAGACGGCAGAGCTACCAGGACTCTCTCTCAAACGCTTCTGGTCGCTTGAAAGCAGCTCGAAAATGCAATTATTCCTGTAGGTGGCACTGGTACTAGGTGTTGCAGAAGCGAAGGCAGAAATGGAGAAAATTGCCTAGGAATTCCCAATTGGTTCCTATAATTTAATGCAGAACAATAGAGGTATTTTTTTCATTTACTCTAAATTCATGTAACATGTGACAAATGAAAACCCGATTGCTTTATTAGAACAAAATATGCTTTTAAAATCTGGCCCTCTGTAACTTTATGGCCTGGTCCATGAGAATTGTCTATTTCCCTATATGTCATTAAACAAATCCTAGTGCAAAGAGAAATTAACTCAGCACCGCTCATTCAAGTCAAATGTTTGCACCAGGAAAGCCCTAATGAGACACTGTCTGGTTTCCAGAGGGGTTGCTAAGAACAAGTGGCGGCAAAGTTATTAAATCTGTTCGAGCAACTAACACATCATTAAGACACCACCAC